CGTGATACGGATAAGGGGAGTGAGCTTACTGAAACGGTTCTTTCGGCCACGTGTCATCATTTTATTGGACCGTTTTTTTTTGTTTGACCACCACGAAAAATACAACTCTCTCTTATTTCTTCGACGAGGTTACTTCTCCTTCGCAAACTGTGTCTCCCGGACAATCAAATCTGTTCTCCAATTAAGCTGAATCGAGATGGTTTATATCGCTTCTTGGGACGAATTCGTGGATCGATCTCAAGGTCGGGCCTGAGGGGAGGCAGGGAGGCATTGGCTTTGACTAAAACATAAAAATTTTAAAATATGCAGGCTTTTTTTGTAAAAAAAAAAAATTGAGGACCATTTGTTAAAACTGATAAACTTTTTTATGTTTTAGTCTTTTTTTTTTTAGTAAGCACAAAAATCCAAATTTTTATTAGTTTTTGCTTTGGCCTAAAAATTTCCAGACCGATCTGTTCAGCTTTTTCGAGCTGATCCCATATCTGTAGGTTTTTTTTCTTCTTCTTGATTTCATTCATTAGTACGGTTGATTTGGATTATCATCCCTGCATTAGCTAAACCTGGAATCGTGCTTGTTTGATTGGTAATCTGATTAGTTATGTTTCTCTCTAACTATGTGCTCTGTTTTCTCCCATTCGCAGCTTTGATGGTAAGTGCATTGTTCTTTTCATTTCTTTGTGTGTTTTTACTTTTAAGCTTTCTTGTTAATGAATTTGAAAGACCATTCTTTGTTTCATGAAAATCAAGTGATGGATTTGAAGGAAAGGTATTGCTGCTGAGTATCTCTCATCCACACAAGCTACTCATGTTAGAAACAAGGTCATTTGAGTATAGTGTGTTTCTAGGCATATATGTGTGATTCGAAGCTTTGTCTATTACCTGACCTCTTTTACTAAAATGGAAACCTTTTGTTAGAATTCAAAACTCATGCCATGTGCTTTGTTATATTGTTGATCGAATCACGTGGATGTTTTCTTCATTTTGTTTCACTTACAACGAAATATCTTGGATGAGCCAAATCACTTC